GGGGCTGCTGCGGGGCGGCGGAGCCGGCGGGGCGCGGAGCGGAGCCCGAGCGGCCACTTCAGGAATACAGATAAGTGGCAGGCGGCTGGACGTGGGTTTTAATGCATCTGGACTCGGCGTGGATGTGGCTGTGCCCGTGATTCCGAGCTGCGTGCGGGCGACAGCCGGCGGCGAGGCGCGGCGAGCGGCGGGCAGAAGGACAGACCAACGTCGCCGAGCCGGGTAAGCGGCGGCCCGGCCCCCGAGTAGCCCCTAACGCGCTCACCCCCGCGACTCCCCTCGCGCTCTCCTGTCAGGGTCCTGGTCCCGGCCCCGGCCCCGGCCCCGGCCCCGTCGCCCGGGCTCGGCTGCGACCGGCGAGTCCCCGCGCAGACTCGGCCACTTTCGCGGGCCGGAGCGCGACGTGCTCGAGAAAGCGCCCCGGACTCGCCGCCGCTTCCCCGCGGGGCTCCGGCTTCCCAGCTCGGCGTCGCCCGGCGCACCTGCCAGCAGCCTGCCGCTCGGGGAGAGCCCGGGGCTGAGAGGCTGTCCCAGAGCGGGAGCCCGGGAGGGCCTCAGTGGCCAAAGCAAGACAGCCCAAGGCCACTGTGTCCACCGATCTATTTGGGGGCGTTCACTCCAGACTCAGAGTCCCTGGTGGCCGCTGGCTGTTCCTTCGGATCTGGGGACTTGGAATCAGAAAGGGAAAATCATTCGCGCTGGTTTCTGGAGGCTCTTGTAGAGCGATTCAAAGGCACTGAATGGGGATAAGTGTTCGTGTCCCCACCTTCTCTCTTGTCGCGCCCAGTGGGGTCCATTCCCCTAGTTTGAACAAGATGAGTGTGGGGGATTCCGTGGGAGTTTGCCCAGGGTCCCAGAGGCTCCTTGTAGCCGGTATGAGAATATTTCCCTCCATGTGCTATCTTTTGCCCCGCCCCACAAGTGGAATAGGATCCTGGAGGATTCTAGCTTGTGGGATCCACCCGGCAGGTAGTCTGGAAAGGCCCATCCTGATGGTGATCTAGATGGTAATTAGAGTCGCTAGGAACTGCCCTTTGAGGTGCCTGAAAGGCCTCCACCTGTGTGGCATGACCCTGGCCCTAGGAGGAGGTACCTACCCCAACTCTGCTGGGCCAGGAGAGTGGAGACTGTAGGAGAAGGAATCTGACAGGCTTGACATTCTAGGTCAGTTATGGGTCTAGGAGTCAAAACCTGTGTGGTGGGCGCTGGAAATGCGAGCCGGTGCCCTGCGGGAATCCAAGACCCTGGAATGGTTGTGGGTGAGCTGGGGACACAAAGGCAGTGGGACAGCCTGCTTAGCTCAGGGAGGTGGCGCGGGAGTGTATCAGCGGAAGAGCCCACAGACACTCTGGGGAGCATCACCCCTTCTGTTGGGCAGCACAGGGGACAGAGCTACCAAGATGATAACCGAGGGGGACAGAGCTGGACTCTTTGGAGCAGGAGTTAAGTCCAGTCCCACAGGACAGTGGGCTCCTTTCTTGCTGGGCTTCTTTGCCAGACCTCAAAACTTCACTCTTTGCCCTGGGCTGGCTTTGGATTCTGGGGCCTTCGGCTGAGCAACGAAATCCCCTGAAGAGCCAGTCCTGGCTAGGGGAATTCAGCTATTCCTAATTGAAATGCACAACTTCTATGCAGTCACCCCAGAAAGCTCCCAGAGTCACTCGTCCCCCCTCCCCTCTGACCTCCAGGCAAGAAGAAAGAAGAATTCATTAACTTCCCCCTGTCCTCCTGGAGCACCATTTGAGCTAATTACCTGTGCGCTCCTTGGTGGCCTGGGGTGAGCAGCTGAGGAGAGAGGGTAGGGACCCAAGGAAACAGAGGATCTGTCAAGGCACCCTGATGATTTTGCCACCTAGTGTCACCGTCTGTCACCTCCTAGCTCTCCCCACCCCAGAACCCGCCCTTGCTGCCACCAGCCAGCATTCCCAAGCCCAGCCAGAACCAGTCCCCCGGCTGGCCCTCTTCAGGGACCTGCAGATGGAGGAGGGCAAAGCCGACTGCCCTTTCAGCTCCCTCACTGTCTCCAGCAGATTGCATTAGGATGGGGGCGAATTGGCTCACAAAGCGGTTAAATGGAAATGGCATTTTGAGTGACACGTTGCCAAAGAGCAGCAGGATCTGACGTGGTAAAGAAGCAGAAGGTCTCCTCGCCCAGGGACCGCAAGTCTGGTGAGAGAACCCCAGCGGATCCCTCTGTTGGCCAGGAGTCCTTCTCAGTCTGGAGCCCAGGAGAGGGCTGGCTGGCCTCTCAGCCCAGGTCAAAGTAAAGAGCAAAGAGCAACTTCACAGACCATGGCACAGAACCTGCCAGCCTAAGGCCGGCAGCCCCTTCCCCACCGAGATCCGGCAGAATGCCTCCTCTTGCCTCCAGGCCTGAGAACATCCACCCTCTAACTCTCCGCCATCCAAAGCTGCAGATGTGGGCAGTGTAAAAGTTCCCCATCTGTTTTGCAGGAGTCTGGGCTCAAAATGAGGTTAGCAAGAAAATCCTCAAAGAACAGCCTTTTCTCTGCTAGGTCCCTTTCCCTTTTACAGATACTTCTGATTATTCAGCTAATCTTTATTTCATGGGCATGTTACAAGGGAACACAGGAGCAGGAGGAAGCCAGTACCATGGTTAAATACACAAGGCGGCAGCTGGCAGCAGCTGGCGGCAGCCCACACTCACCAGCTCAGGTACTGTGAGGTGCCCCTGTCTTCAGGTGCTAGAGTTGCCCCTGTCTGGGAGGCTTCAGAGTTTCTATCTGACCTTGTGTTCTGTAACGGCCTCCCCACGATGTAGGGTTTGGTGGGGGGAGCGGTTCCTCTTTCCACCCCTCCCCAGCTGTCTTTGTGCATTGCCACACAGCTGTCACAGTCGGGGCACAATATACCTCTGTCCATCACAGCAAATGGAGAGGCAAGGAGCACAGAGCCGGGCACCCCACCCCACCCTCACCCACGAAGGCTGGAGCATTGTGTGACAGTCTGTTAACTAGAAATAATTCAGGCCTGTCGGTAGGGGAGCGGGTAGGAACAGGCTTGAAGGTGCCGGAGGTTTACAGCTCCTGTGCACTCCCCACCCGCCGCTGCCACCCTTGCCCAGGGGCAGTCTGTCATCAGCGCATTCTGTGCGGATCCGCTATTGCTCCCCTACACATATGCTCAGTTCAACAATAATGAATGGAACCCATGCCCTGATGGGAAACAGTTTTTTCACTTAGTTACAAAGATTTCATGCCTGATTAGAGTAAATGAGCGGTGGGTTTGTGTCCACTGGTTTTCTTGGTCATTTCTAAAGGTGAGCCCTATGGAGACAGAGAAAAAAGGCTGTCCCTCTGGGGTCAAACAGCTGGTCCCAAGGAGGGATGGCTGGTAGAAAGGGACCACGCTTTTTCTCCTCTGCTTAGCTCTCAGGCCCTCTCAGGCCCTTTCCCTGGCACTTGGGCATATGGAACCTCTTTATCCAGCCCCACACTGCTCCATCTGGAATTCGAGGGTAGAAATAGAGGCGAGAAAGTTCTTTGTTGAGGAGCAGGTCCCCATTGGGCAAGGTAAGGAGAGAGAAGGAGGGGAGGTGGGAGGTGGCGAGCTGGAAGGAGAGGCTTGGGGCTGAGCGTGCAGAAGTTCTCTGCGGTTAGTTTGGTTAACCATTAACCTCTTGCCCTATCCTGGCCTAATCTCCTGCCTGGGAAACCCTGACCAGCTGGTGTCCTCCCAGGGCCCCTCCTGCCCACAGAATGTTTGCTCTGTCTCTGCTGTCCATGGGGCCCCAGGCCCAGTTCCTGGCTCCTACCCACCCCTTCTCTCCTGCTCTGCACCAGCTCCGTCTGCCCCTGCCCTCTTCCCTCCCGCGTTCCCTGCTGTTCCTGTGGCCCGTGCGGGCAGGGCAGGGAGCATGCGGGGTGCTGGGGAGAACCACCAAGGGGAGTGGGCTGGTTTCCCACAGAGCTCCAAGCAGACAAACCTGGACCCCATCCTGATGCGGGCCTCTGAGGTTAGGCCCTCCGCCCAGGGCCCTGATGCACTCTGGCTGGCCCGACCATCGCCCTGAACTTGGGCGAAAAGCAGCAGGTGAATGGAAGAAAGATGCAGGCTCAAGGCGCCCATGGAAAGAGGAAGTCAAGGTGTAGACTCAGGCGGGCGTCGCGGATAAACAGAGAGGCTGCAGATAAAAGAGGGAGACGAAGAGAGTGACAGCGCGACAGGCTAGCAGAGGAAGGGGCTGAGGGTGAGCACAGGGCCAGAGAGACGGGGGAGCGGGAGCCGGGCGGGCAGGGGCTCAGCTGGAGGCTCTGGGCTCCTGGGAAGCCGAAGTAGCAGGTTATCTCCACTAGAGGGGGCGCTCGAAAACCAGGCTTGGCCCAAACTGTGCTTTGGGTGGGGGTGGGGGTGCCAGAGACTCCCAGCTGTCACTTTCCTGAGACTGGAGGCCGCAGCTGGCCGGTCCCAGGCAGTGGGAGCTCAGAGTCCCAGTCTGCCTGGGGAATGGGAGGCGCCTGTTGCACTAAGCACCCCAGGCAGAGGCTGCCCCACTAGGCAATGTGGGGTGGCGATGGCCGGAAGGGCCTGGGCTCAAGTTCTTGGGCTGTCCAGTCTGCCGCCACCCGCCAAGGGCTGCTCACCTTCCTTTATCAGCAAGAGTAGCTTTCGGCCCATGCCCAAGGCACCCTCACATGCCTACCCTTCCTCTTCCTCCCAGAGTGCAGATTTCAAAACCCTCTCAGTGGCAGCCAAACTGCTCTGGAGGAGACATTTTAAAGAAAGACCTTTCAGGACCTGAGCACAACAACGCTGTATCAGTGATTTAATCTTTGTCTTCCTATTCTCCGCGGGAGCCTTTCTCTGAATTCTAATTCCCCCTTTCATTTCAGCAAAGGACAATATTGCCAAAGCACAGTCCAGAGCCTTCCTCGTCTGAGGGATAATAACGGTCTAACGGGGGGAGTGAGAAAATATTGAGGTTTCTGGATGGACAGGGCCAGGGAGCAGTGCTTCTGCAGATCTGATGCCACCCCCTGATATTTAATCTCGGTTCCCCTTTGGCTCAGATTTACCTAGGGTCGTGAGAGCGGGGGAGGGAGGACAGAGAAAAGAAAGAAGAGAAAACAAGATAAACGTATCGTGTTATGAAAGTGTAATCCTGCTTTTCCTTGGCTAAAATTACTTTCAGGATGAGAGATAAAAGGCTACGGAATTGCCCTTGGAAAGTTCAATGTGCCTTTCAAAAGGAAGAGCAGGAG